GATGAAACAACATCTTTAATTTATAACAAGATGCATGGCGAAATGGGATGTGACTGTTTTATTGCCATATTCAGACTAAAATTATAAAATGCTTTTTTTAAATATAGTGTCGTAATATCAAATAAAATTGTATGAAACATAGTTTTCATTGAAACTTTGCTTACAAATTCAATTACTTGCAACATTCGGTAACATTAGATACATACAGTGCTCATATATTATATGCATTCAGTTCTGTGTTGCTATTTTAAGTATACAAGAAATGAATTAATAAAATAATGGTTTGCTAATTAAATTCATGAGCTACATTACTTGTCTCCTATGATAAATAAAAAATACGCCACATTCATTTTTAATTAAGTTGCAAATTAAGGCACTTAATAGCCACAAGGAGTGGTTTAGTAGTTTAAGCGAAAATAAAAGGTTAATTAACATCCACATAAAACTGAAACAAATTTGCAGTTATGATTTTGTTTTTTCCTAAGATGATTTTAACCCTTTCAAAATAAAGAATAATCCTTTGTAATAAAGAATTAGTTTAATGCTTAAAAAGAAAAAAGGTGTTATAGCTGTAAAAAAATCACATTAATACTATGATTGTAGTTTTAATTTTTTATTAAAACATTAATTCTCAATGTTAGAAAGGTCGGCAGCCTAATCGCTTCTCTTTTGTTTTACAAATCAAAATTTAATTACGAAAAGTTTCAATTAAACATTCCCACTCCCCTCCAAGCTACAAGAAGCATTGTAATATGCAGAAAAAAATTAATGATAGGTAAACAAAGGCACGGAGTAGGTTCTTCCCGATTTGCTTAATGATGTTCCACCAAATGTGAGACGCAACATGTGGGTTCCAACATGATACGGCTCCTGTTTATTTTGGATTAGATGTTCGTAGACATTTGAACAGATCATTCCCGCATCGATAGACTGGATTTGGTGGACCAGTTCCCTGGCCCTCACGCTCACTGGATTTATCGAGGCTCGATTTCTTTCTTTGGGAAGCCATCAAAAGTGTCGTGTGTCACGATCCTGTTGTGTCTGAAATGGATCTCGTGGCAAAACTCGCCTGGGCAGCTCTACAAGCAAAGAAACTCCCCGTGTATTTGAACATGTTCGGGAATCAATGATCTGTCGGTGTCAGGTATGTTTGGCGTCTGATGGTGCAAACTTCGAACACCTGTTGCAACATTCAAACTGCCGTACACCATTTGTATTGATGTGCAATAAATATTTCAAATTAATCACTTTTGTTTCTTTTCCCATCTTCTACCTCTGCTACTAGTTACCCTTGACATTTCCGGCCATGGGTTCCTATGGAATTCTTAATCCTTATGATGTGCGCTACCTCCCCTAGAAGTTTGTCTCAACACTTACGGTACACCCTTTATATATTCATTTTTATTTAGAGTAACATTGAGCTTTGACATGATTAAAAATAATTCATTAAAGAATTTGTAAACTAAACTGCAATATATTTTAATGAAGTGGTCTTTATGTTCCTGTCCGTGAAGACAATTGGAGGTCATAAGTTTAGCCTCAGCTTCGTTATAGGCGGGGGGAGATGGTTTGAGAATTGAACCTCATATTAGAAACTGGATGAAATTCCAGCTTGCCTGTCTCACACAATCGGGAGGTAAGCTACCTCAACTTCCTAAGAATAGGAGGAGGAAACGAGTGAATTTTCTTCTCACTGCTTCTCGGAAGGTTTGGAATAGGGAACTGGTTCGTGCATATTTCCTCCACCCAGAATCGAAACCACCTGACTGCGGATCTAAATAAGTACAATTAATAATCCTATGTGAAACATCCATTAAAGCAAAATATTAAATACTTCCATAAAATATTAAAAATAAATTTGAATATATGAAATTGTGCTGATAAATAAGTAAGGTTGATAAAATAGGTCATTGGTCATTAAATGGCTCAACACTTTATGCGAGTGAAGGTTGCTTCACATTAAAGAACGTAATTCATGTAAGGTCATAACATCGATTAATTTCCGTTCGAGAACAATTTTTGACTTTTATTGGGGGAAAATTTCGACTTTATTTGAAAATCAAATGATTCCGATTTTCAAATAAATTCGAATTTCGAAATTAGATTTTGAAGACTAAAGTTAACATTACTTTTTAGTGCATTTTCCATTAACCTCTTCGCATTTTTTCCCAGGAGTCGTTGGTGAGATATGATGTAAATTCAAAGTTTATTTTAGATGAAATGTGGCTGTTACATTAAATATTTCCTGTAACTTCTCTTTCTTCCGTGAACTTTAACAGAACGCAAATTACGTAGAATTTCAATTGCGAGTGAATGCGTAACTTGAAGAAACAGCCTTACAAGAATTAATTACATAAAGCAAATCAATTATTTTTCATCTTTGGAAAGCATGATTGTTATTGTCTTTGGTTAGTTAAAATTGTTCTTAATAATAAGAAACCAAACACCTATTTACATAATTATACAGGACTTGAGGAATGTCAATTTCTGGGAAAGAACCGGAAAAAGTCAAACATTAATGAACAAAGGGGATTACTGGAGGGAAAATAGAATAAAGCGAGATTACAGAAGATAAATGAAGCAAAGAGATTATGGGAGAATAAACAGAATGAAAAGCGGAGATTAGAAAAGATTTATGAACAGAAGCGAAGTGGAAAATACTTAATATAATGGAATTTTTCTATTCAGGATTCAATGTATTATTTTAATTTCGTTTAACATTAAACTGATTTCATGAAGAAAAGAATCCATAAATTTTCAAAAGAAAATAAATGAATAAAATCGATTTCAATATGACTGTACGAGACAATTTCTTTTAATGTCATTTGATTATATCCAAATAAATTGTGAATTTAAGAAGGCATTTGAAGTAGATAAAATTAATTACTAAAATTGAAAGAAATTATTGGACGTATAGAAGCAATGTTCAATCAATAGAAATTCCAGTTACTAGTATTTCAATTTACAGAATTTCAATTAACCAGATACACTGTGTCCTGGAAGGTCCTCACCCGGCACATACTTTCGCAATGTTTGATCTTTAAATAACGCAAAATTTCATGTTTTGGCATTTTTTAATTAAAAACAGTTACAAAATATAACTTTTATACGCTTCCCTATTTTATTTGCTAGACTTTTATCATCCTTAGGAAAATTTTATATTTAATGTAAAAAATAAAATGCAGAAGGTTATAAGATATTTCTCCCGCCTTCCCAGCGTGCCTTCGTGGTGTAGTGGGTCTGCACGCTCAGCGTGTAATTTAGAGGTCCGTGGTTCGGCGAAGGCGGTTGCTAATTTTTCATCTCTCCGGCATTTCCAATGAACCTAACTTCTCTACAAAGGGTGTTGGATGATGATTCCAGGATTTGGCGATTAGGTCTCCTAGAAAAAAAAAAAAAAAAAAAAAACAAATCGCCCTTTAAAAGGGGGAGTATATGTGGTATTTCTTCCGCCTTCCTTAGCGTGCCTTCGTGGTGTAGTGGTTTTGCACGCTGGGCCAGCATTCCAGAGGTCTGTGGTTCGATTCCCGGCGAAAGCGACTACTAATTTTTCATCTTGCCTGCTTCCAAAACATACCTGATGTCTCTACAAGGTATTATGTACACACGATAAAAATAACTGAGTTATTTTATTTTAAATTTTAAGGTCCTGTTAGGAGCCTTTTGATTTGAAGGGAGATATGTTTACACCTGTACGAAATAAAAAATAAAATATCGCATTAGAATAGATTTCTGATGTAAATGGATTAAGTGACCAGCATTTCAATGCAGATTGTCATAGGACGTATTAATCAATATACTTACATTACACTTACATACTACACTCAAAACAAAGATCCTTCTCAGAAAAGCTTATAGAAATCGCGTTCTAGAAAACTTCACCAGGCTTCAATGTTGCACACACTTAAATCTTAACATAATTTGATTAAATTAAAAATGAAAATATTTCCAGTTTAATTATATTTTCATGATTAGACACTGATAAATTAAAACATATCATTGAAGGTCATTTAATGGGAAAAGTAGAACCGAGAAATAATTCTAATTTGTTTATTAACAGACCCCTCAGGGCAAATTAAAAATGACACCAAATATCCAAACATCTGAAATAAATACCACGGTTACTTTTTGTTGTATAGTAATCAAACCCTTTTCTTTTGAATGGGCATGTTCTTTTGTTATAAGTCGTCAGCACATCAAAAGCCAGATCCATGACTCGAATACAGGTATTGTCATTCTGAAAACTTTACAGTCTCTTGAGCGGCCAGATACTAAAATGTGAAGGAACGATTCCAGTTGTATTGGGTTAAATGAGTCACCAACCTCTTCAATATTCCTCTTTAAGTGTATGGAGGGGAGAATGTAAGGAATAGTTGGAATCTCTCGTGCATGCTGTTGGAGTGTAAGTGTTTAGCACATCTCACTTGCAAGTTAAGGATCTTCGGTTTGAATTCCGAGGAGGTCTCAGTTGATATTTTATATTCATTGCTTCAAAATAACTAATTGTTTCTACAAGTGAAGTTTTTTCTTAGCCCAGTTGCTATAATATAACAACGCAGCAGTGTTTCCGATTAGTAATTATATAGGTAAAGATGCATCAAATTAACTACACTATAATAACCATCGTAACCTCGGATTTATTAGTGAAAATGGAGAGATTAGTTCTATCTTGTGAATCTTAACCAAGAAGAAAATTTTCAACAAGCGTTTCTGACTACTTACCTGCTTTCAGCAGCGACCATCTATCATTAATAAGCTATCTATCTGTTGTTTTTGTTAGGCCAAAAGGTAGACCAATTCATTGGCAAGGAAGCAGCAAGGTAAGTGTTAAGGTGATGTAGTAATTACACCAGGAATGCTAAAGAGCATAGTCGAATTTTACATTTTCTGGTTTCGAAAAACCTAATTTCTAAAAGATGCATATTATATTCGATCTTTTCAGCACATGCATCCAAATGAACTTTTGAAAAGTGATGAATCTCACAGTAGTATTGAGTCACTTACTGCATCCATCTTCATCTGATCCGTCCTGGCAATCTACGCTTCCATCACACATCCAGTCTACGATGATACACCCACCATCATTGCAACGAAACTCATTCGTAGCGCAGGACTGAGCGGCTAGAGGAGAAAGAAGTTAGTTTTAAAGACATTACATATAACAGCTTTGAGCATTTCAAAGCAAAACGTACAGGAAGGAATAAACTAAATTGATTAAAAACAAGCGAGATGAAAATATTTCTTTAATTCAGCAAGGAAATATTAGCTGATATCATTTTTCAAGCTCAGATCTACGTTGAAAGACGAAATATCAGAAAAATATAGAAGTAGATAACAGAAATTTAAACATAAAATGCATGGATTTTCAAAATTGTATAAAGAGATATTTCCTATTTTTGTGGTAACTAAACTATAACTGAAATTTCCAACAAAGAAAAAACAGAGAATATTAATCGCTGTAATTTTGGAGTTATAGCAAAAGGTGCAGTTTTCATAGTTCTTGAACGATTATAATGCAATAAAGCAAAAAAAAAAAATAAAAAATAAATAAATAAATAAATAAATAAATAAATACGGACTTATTATTTTTTAATAATATTGTTTCATTTTACGTAGATTAGTATTAAATTTAGATGATATGTTTTAAAATTTAAATTATTCTTCGTAAAAAATGGTTTTGAGTAAAATGTCTTTCAGAAGCTATTTGGGGCAGCCACATTACATTAATCCAGTTTTGGCTCAACTTAATTCGCTTAAATTTATTTTTAAAAGCATACTTTATGAATGAAAATTCAGAAACATAGCAAATAAATTTTAACATGTGCTTCCTCTAGTGAATATGAATTGTTCATTTCCTATTGTCTATTCTCTGTTGGAAATTGGTTCATGTGGTTTCTTCAGGTAACGGAAAATACATTGATGTTCAATACAAGGAAATTTTGACATTTGTTCAATTATACTTGGTGCAAAACCTTTTTCCGTAATAATTGGTCTCTAATACATGTAAAGATAAATGTAAATATTCATATATACTGAAACAAAAACTCACTTATGAAAGGAAGGAATTAGGTTATAAGACTTCATAAATTATGAGGCAAAGAGAAAGTGTCTGTGATAAAGAAATCTTTCTCCATCTATTGGCTACAAAATATGAGGTATCGGATTGGAGTACGCTAAAGCAAACAAGAAATAGCTCTCAGCAATCTCACCCATGATTGGATATGTCATATCTTTAGGGCCTAAAAGTGCAGTTTCTGTTGTCCATAACAGAGTTTTCTCTTTTTTCCTCCAAAGACCTTTGCTCTTAGACACATTTTCTGATGACGTAATGGCTTTTGTTTTGATCTTTGAGTTCTTTGAAGGAATTACGTAAGTAATTACTGGAATTCCGTGGAGTGTTTGGACCGTTTTATTCTATATGAGAGAGAGTAAAGTTGCTGTTAGTAATAGCTATCAGACTAGGATTTAATACGTTCCCATCATCTACAGTTTCTGATATTTTCAGGAAGATAAAAATAAAGAATGGCTTTTATTGATCAAAAAGGTTGAGATCTTGGATTCATTTTTTATTTAGTATCATGCTTTCCTGCTGCATTTTTATCGGTAACTAACATATGTTCAGAGGCATGTTTCTAGCTGATAGTTTTAGAGAATCCTTACTAATATTATAAAACTTTTTATTATTCCACAGAGGTGGTAGCCAAGAAGGACTATTAGTCTCAAAATTGAATTTTGTGGTGTTTTACTATAAACGACGAATCACCTTTTGAGTTGTTGCCACCAAATATTATCGCCCTGTGTTATATTTAAAACTATTAAATAACGAAGAATCTCCATGAATGTATGCATGTTTCTCACATAGCGAAAAAACAATGTTATCAACAAATCTTGAATAACGAAGGTCTCCATCCGAACATGGACACCTGAACGCCTGAATCAGGAATATGGAATTTGTTTTATTTTTTATTTCATAGTTTGTAAAACTTTAACGATTTTTTTATTAAAAAACTCAACAGTTTCAAAACGAGCAGCGACAATGCTGTAGGGAATAAAATATTTTTATCTCCAGACCATGAGACTGTATTTCGGAAATTCTAAAGATATGCTGTTTTTAAATGTTTTATTGTGTATTTCAAATTTTGTAAAACTTTAACGAATTTTTGATAACAAACTCAACGATTTTAAAGCGAGCAATGGCAACACTGTACGAAACAAAAAACTTTTTCTATCTCCAGGGTGCGAGACTATCTATCGGAAATTCTAAAAACAGGCTGTTTTTAAATGTTTTTAGAATGACAAAATATTAGCCCAAATGTTCTCCGACGTGTATGTGTATGTAAATGAAACAATCGCACCTTTGGACGAAATATAAAATCTGAAAGCTTTCAGAATTTTTTTTTATAAATTTATTGGTAAAATATTTGATGCACTCTATTAACCTACATACATAAAACGAGTGATTCATGGAACTGAAGCGAATAACAAAAGAATAAAAATGAACTAACTCAAAACCAAGGTGGAGCAGGAAATACTTACAACAGCAATAATAATTAAATTAAATTGAACCTGCAACTGCTCGAGCTCTTTGGCTTGTTAGAGTGACAATAGAAATCCTTCCCTTCCCTATTGATAGAGCAATTAAGTAATTGTTCCTCTCCACTGATATATCCTGTAGACATAATGCACTATTTGAATTGTTATTAATTTCTATCCGGTGTAGAAGTTTTATGAGGTAATCATATCCCGTTTTAAATCTGAATTCCACCACTGCAACAGATATAGTAGCAATAGACATGAATACTTCTGGTCTTAATTTTAACTCAGAATTTTTCTTCATATTCACTTGACATCGTATTCCTAACAATTCATTTAATTAAGACACATTGCAATTTTCGCTGGTTGAATTCTCAACATTTTCGTGGCTTTCTTACGAGTAGGTCTTCCACTTCAATCTTAGAGTGGGTGTGATACGCAGTGAAAAGTAATCGACCGTCCAATAGATCTGAAATAATAACAGACTCATTCGATAACACCAATTCTTCTCCGAATCCGAAGTGGCCCACCAGAGGCCGTAGTTCGGTCTGAGGTTCGAATCCCGCGAACGGGCTGGCTGCATGGGCGTTTTCGTGGTTTTCCCCATGTAACGTGTATACGAGCCAGTTTCCCTTAGAAAGTCCTCCACGAAAGGCATCCCTCCCTTTAGGCAGATAGCCCTCGTGTGCTTTGCCATAATTAAATACACCAACACACACCAACACCGAATCCGAAGTGCTAACTGATAAGATTCTCTGGAGAGTGGATAAGGAGTCAGAAAGAAAAACGTCTTTTTTCCAACTGATAAGAATAAGATAATGAGCACCAAGATTAAATACCTAAAGCACTAGTCTTAAATTCCAGGACAGCGGACTATATGGGGCACCTTAAGCAATTGGACACGATCAGTGAGTACATTTCTCGTAAATTAATATTATTATGATAAATATTTGAAAAGAAGTTAACAATTTTAAGGATTTAGAGTTCAATTTTACACTATTTTTTAAACCAAAAGCAAATGAGGGTATCACCCCAGAAAATCTAACAAATAGAGCCAGTTTACACTGTGTCTTGGTATACGTTATTAATTCCTTCTGGATCCCTGAACGTATACCATATTGGACGGATGACAACCGAACTTTTCCAATAAGAAATAAAGGAAAATAAACAATAATTAAAAAAAACCTACTGCTATTATTATAACACTGTTAAATACTAAAATACAAATACAGAGGTTAAAAGTTATGTACCCCTTGCACGATAAATAAATAAATAAATAAATAACACAGTTCTGCATCTGCCGCTTTACTTGACCGATTGTCGAAATTAACTTCCGTTTTCCATATGTTTCGAAAGCGCGACTTAGGATATATATTAAATTTATATAGTATTTTTCTAACATAAGTATTTTGATACAAAATCGACATTTTCTGAAATAACATATCGCCTTTTTTCCATATTTCGATTTTACGACTCAAATTATGCCAAAGTGTCTTGTAAAAATCGCAAGAGCAGGTTTTAAAACATTAGCTTTCAAAATTTTAGTTCCTCAATGTTAATTGAATTTGGTATGTATTTATTAATATCTCTTTTTTATTAAACATTTCATTATTCCTTTCACATTTCGAAATTTAGGTTCATTTAAAATAAAGCTCATCCATTTTTACTTCCTTGTACGAAGTAAAAAGGAAGTATTGTAATCGCGAAAAGTTTCAGGCAGCATATTTCAACGAAAATATCCATTTTGACCGCTATCGAATGCAATTTAACGATGTTTTGGCGTGATATCTGTACGTAAGGACAGAATAAAAGACTCGTTTCCTCCAAAAAAATTATAAAACTGCTTTAAAATTAATTCTGAAGAGAATTTTTCGTGGCGTCTGTACGAACGTATGTACGTACGTGCGTACGTACGTACGTATCTCGCATAACTCAAAAACCAGTAGCCTCAGAACATTGAAATTTGTATATAAGACTACTATAACATGAGGATGTGCACCTCGTATTTTGGTTTCAATAGGCCTCGCCAAACGTGTATAAATATACTTACAAATATATCCACTCTGTTACCCGGCTCAGTGATCTCAGTTTCTTTACTCTTATATGTTTGTAAATTGTACATTCATTGCTTTAAAAATGATTGAATTATGTTGTTTTTATCTTCCGGTTAAGGGTTTTATGCCTTTAGTAAATCTGTATATATATTTTTAGAATTATCAACAATTTTAAAATTGTTTAAGTGCCGCTAAGCCTAATTTGATGGCGGCCATTTATGTTTACATTTGAAACAGGAGACTAGTGGATTTGTTGCCAATCTAGAGAAACTTAGCTTCGCAACAACAAAGATAACGCCTTCTATTATTTATTGAGCCAATTAAATCATGCTTAATCCTTTCTGAATGTTTTTCGAGGAAAATAAGCGTTTTAAGATTTACTTCGTAATTTTTAATATAGATATTTTGAGTTTTTATGTATTTTTGCCTTGCCTTGTCGCGAAGTGAGAACTGAATTAATTGTATGAGAAATACTCAATCCTCTGTGAAAAATTGTTTCTTTTTGGTTTTGTTTGCTTAATTTCTTTTATACAT